AACAGCCATCTGACTTTTTGGCCTTACTACTATATTTCCACAATTTATGCACCATACATATCAGTGTGTTTCATAATCAGATCAAAGATGGCTGAATAATGGCTGTTTTTATTTTGGCTATATTACTATAACACGAAACAAGTGTTTTGATGTAAATAAACAATCTGTTGTATACACCACTTGGAACTCAAGTTTCAAGGACACGCTTGTGACAACCCCTCCACTTTAATATGACGAGCACAAAGAGAACTTAACGGGGACTGTGTCATTTTCAATGACTTGTTTATATTAAAGTTGATATTTATATACGCAATTTTTCCGTTATTTGCGTTTTATTCAGACAATGTTTGGTCTGCGCACCAACGAAGGCAGTGGTCTACAGGGGGCGCTACCAATCCCTGTGTTTCAAGTATTGAATAGACACTTTGGAGTGACGTTTGAGTGTTTTGCATCACCTTTAAATTGTTATTTCAAACAGTACTGTTCTGCGTTTAATGATGTGGATAGTTACTTTGGATCAAGGGGGTAAGTCGTGTCAGTTATATTTATACATACCGGTAATCCCACGATATCTTCTCTTAGTTTGATGCCAGCAGACACGAGTGGAACTATTGCTGAAATAATGACAACTATGAATATCAGTGTTTTTTTCTAGAAAAAAACTGCAAGAGGGAGCACTGCAATTCAGCTGCACCACCAAGTGGGGGAGATAGGGTTCTCCTCAGGGTGTGGAGTTTTTGATAATTTTGATAAGTTAAAATGGAGCATTCTATGGCTTCCTTGGGGCCAAAATTACTATCAGACAGGTCACAGTTGAAGACTGTGGTCACATGTGATCATTGGTCAATTAAAATTTTATGGTTGCCAGAGGATCTGCTCTCCAAGAGGACGCATGGCCATGGTGTGAGGGCCCTGCGCCCCTGTTCCCTTGTTTAAAAAAATCCCTGGAATATATCGTTGGGTGTCCCTCGTATGCTAATTTTGTTGATTTTCCAACATACATCATTGCACTATGCTTAGAAATATTGTAGTGTTGCAAAAGAAACTCGTATGGAATTATGATCAGTATATTTCTACTCCTACCAGGGTTTTTAAATCCAGAATTACAAAAGCACGAGTCGAAAAATTATTTTCATCAAATTTGGTTTCTAAACATGTATATGAAGACGCATGCAATTTTTTTTATTTATTTATTCCACAGATCTTTAGGAAGAATTCTGTGATTAGATTTGTTATCAGTTAATAAGCAAGTGCTTGTCCCAGCATGATTTTAGCACCCAGAATAATAAACATTCCTAGATCACCCAGAATAATAACCCACTTTAGGCCACCTAGAATAATAACCCTCATTAGGCCACCCAGAATAATAACCCTCCTTGGCCACCTAGAATAATAACCCTTCCTAGTCAACCCTGAATAACCCCCCTCCGTACTCCACCCAAAATAACTCTCCCTCATCCACCCAAAGTAATAACCTTCCCTAGTCTACCCAGGTTAATAACCTTCCTAATCCACCCAAACTAATAACCTTCCCTAATCCACTCAAACTAATAATCTTCCCTAGTCTACCCAGGTTAATAACCCTTCCAAATCCACCTAAACCAGTAACACTTCCTAATCCACCAAAACTAATAACCCTTT